AGAGAGAGAGAGAGAGAGAGAAAGAAATGACACAGAGAAAGAGTGAGAGAGAGATGACAGGGAGAGAGCGAGAGAGAGACAGAGAGAGATGACAGGGAGAGAGAGGGAGAGAGTGTTTCTGAATGAAAAGGACAGATACAGAGAGGAAATGAATATGTGTGTGTGTGTGTGTGCGTGTGTGTGTGTGTGTGTGTTTTCGACAGATGGGGACATATCGAGAAAGAAAAAAAGAAACACACACACACATACACACAAGCCGTCATCAATGATTCACTCAAGAACAAAGTTGAAAAGTTTTTTAAAATGTTAAGAATTTCATCAGTTTCTTTGCTTCTCCTTAGTGTCAGTGGCGCTTAGGAGGTTTGTGCACGACGGCAACGTTATGTGTGCAATGTGTAGGCTGCAATAATGACGGTTTTTGCACCGGGTCAGCCTGTGAACCGACGCAGAGAGAAAATCGACAGGAATCAATGACAATTCTTATTATATTAACAAACACCTCACCTCCTCTCTCTCTCTCTACCTCTTTCTTTCTTTCTACCCCCTTCTCTCCGTCTCTCTCTCTTTCTGTTTTTACCCCATTCTCTCTCTCTACCCCCCCCTCTCTCTCTCTGTTTTTATCCCATTCTCTCTCTCTCTCTCTCTCCAAGGGACAATTGAAACATCTTTTGTACTACTGTCGACGAGCGTCGATGTCACAAAAACACGGGTCAATAATTTCGTAGCGCTGTGGAAGCGTACTGAAGTGTGTACGCTTCCCTAACAGTGCAGTGTTATTGGACGGTACGCGTCCCTAACACCAGCCTTCAGATTATGAACACTTTCCACCACGCAGTGCGCACGAATTTTTGTCCCCATGGACCATACAAACCATTTAGAAAGGAAATTATACCTTTAACAAGTGCGCGTGTCAAAAAGGAGACCATTGCTACAACAGTTTTGTTGGTTTATCACACTGTCACCGATCGGCGTCCCCTGGGGTCCGGGTCAAAGTGTTAGGGAGGCAGGCTAATTTGACCCTGATTGTCAGAGCTAACCTTGGCTGAGTGGGATACAACCTTCCAGAGGAAAGACGGCTCTACTCGACGAAAATAACTTCCCCACACAATAAAGCAGGTTGAGTGCAAGGCATATCAAGCAAAATGTACAACTGAAACATTATATGCCCCCATCAACACAATTCAGATTATGAACACTTTCCACCACGCAGCGCGCACAAATTTTGTCCCCAAAGACCAGGATGCAGATGGGATACATCAGTACCATACCTGTATCTTGGCAAAAATATGCCAATCATTAGGAAATTTTCAGCATATTGAGCAAATAGAATGGAACGTGATGATCGCATGTTCACCATAAAAGGAATTAGAATCGGAACAGAAAACATTAGATCTAGCACATTTATCACCTTAATTCTCATCATGGTGTACGTGTAAAACAGCACTCATGCCAAGTATACTCAATATTTTTTTAAAAAATGTTCTCCAATTATTGTAAACAAACAGATTTTTGACATCAAAGACCACACAAACCATTAAGACAGGAAATTATACCTTTAACAAGTGCGCATGTCAAAAAAGGAGACCATTGCGACAACAGTTTTGTTGGTTTATCACACTGTCACCGATCGGCGTCCCCTCGGGTCCGGGTCAAAGTGCTGAGGAGCCAGGCTAATTTGACCCTGATTGTCAGAGCTAACCTTGGCTGAGTGGGATACAACCTTCCAGAGGAAAGATGGCTCTACTCGACGAAAATAACTTCCCCACACAGGAACCCAAACAATATTTTCTGAGTACAGCAGCAAAAAGCTTATCCACTAAATCACAGGCAACAGTAAATTATATAGGGAAATTTGTCCTCCACTACAGAAACATCACTCGTAAAAGTGGATGGGAATAATTACCAGCAGTTTTGTTGCAGTAAAATTCAATCATGGTTGAACGTCTGAAATTTGTGTGACATTTGTCGCCATTTCTCATGATCATGGTCAATTTCCTGTCGGCATATCTGGGGAAAGACAAAAGATCTATTTCACACAGTACATGAATAGACAAGATGAGAAAGCACTGGCATCCCCTTGTGACACCTCCTAGCCATCTTCATAGCAAACATTTTTTTTTTCAGAAATAAGCCTTAAAACATATTAAAACCCAATCCAAAATAAGAGTCAGGGATCAGCTGGCAAATATCCCATCTGAACAAATAAATACTATGCCAGCCTGCACAGTCACTAAATCTCTACCTTCACCTTCAATTGCCAGATCTGAAGCAGACACTGGCAGCCATAGTTCTCAACTCATTTCTCTGTCCAGATGCTCTTTAACCCTATCCGTACACCCTGGGGTCATTTTGTACCACGCGGTTGTATTCTTCACATTTTAGAATACTTCTAGTACGAAGATCTCTTTAAAACTTTCAGTATTTCTCAAAAAATTATTTTGACAGACTGCTATGCAAAGCGTACGGATCGGATTAACGAGCAAATTTCCGTAGTCCAATACCTCGCAATGCTCAGACTTTTTAATGAACTTTGGCGACCCCAACAAACGCCTGTGCTCACCGGTGCCTCGCGCGAAGATTCATTGGCCGGTCACGATGGCGAACCCGACGATCTTAAAATCGGAAGACGCTTGTATTTTCTTTTAACCCACACACACACACAAGTGTCAGCACGGTGACGAGTCCGAGTAATGATTAAATTTTATTTGCACGGAGACACAGCGTTTATACTGTACAACCTGCATGTCGCAAATGTTGCGTTATCAGTCTATCGTCGGCAAATTTCTGGGTGGTAGCGAAAGTAGATAATATCTTGATTTTCCCAATCGACCCTCGGTGTCACATACACTTCCGCCAGCCACCATAGCCGCCTTTGCCATTTGCGCGTAAAAGTACCCTCGGGGCGGGGAAAAGGTGAACGAATATTATATCACAATCACGAACGGCAAAAACGGAGTCATGTACCGCGGCTTGGGTTCACTGAAAAGTCTTGCTGGCTTCATCACTCAGTATGCAGGCAAATTTACGACCGCTTACCAAATTTTTACTACCTTCAGGGCAAATTTACTACTATTTATGACCTTTGCGACCAGGGCGTTGAATTTACGACTTTTTTACGACTTTACGACCTTGCTGGCACCCTGAGGTCAATATGTAATCCCAGTCTTTCGACATTACCTATCTGTCAAAGGTATTTAAGTCAGTTACCCTTGATCTACCTTTGACATTCTTGCCCTCTATTTTCTCCTGTGAAAGCAAGAAGTTAAAGAGAAGAAATAACATGATAAATATAAGACGAGACTTTTCCTGCCTACCTCAGCTGCATAAATCTGTTCTGTCCACAGCTCCTGGCAAACAAAGAATCACTATCTTTGCGCTGACAGACAGAGGATAGACCTGGAACTGACTGGTTACCGCACTGAGTCCCGAGTGAGTCACAGACATTGATGTAGTATGTGTATTTATCCCTGCCATCAGTGTTGTTTACCCTATACACATCTCTGCTGACTGTAGAGCACACGAACAATAAAGATAAGAATGAGTAAAACAATGAGATTAGAAAACATGAACAGACATGGTGGGGTTAAAAAATTTAAAAAAAATTATAGTAGAGGGATTTACGGCGCTTGCAACTGCATAAGGTCATATGAGCGCCAAGGGGTGGGTGTCAACAGAGAAGTCTTTACAGGGAATCAGACTTAGACTGCTCACCTCTCTAGATTCAACAGCACAAGGTCGGCTTCGACTATCAAGTCACCCCAAAATAGCAGGTCACAAGAGAGTGACAAACATACAAAAGAAGTACAGGATAATGACAATAGTAAGTGTAAGGATCAGGAAAGAAAAATCAGCAGTTCCCTGTTGTAGATCAGGCACAGTTATAAGCATGACATGAGTCAGCCCATTTACAATTCTACTATGCTTGAATGAGAAATGTCCCCCCTTTGGGAAAGGCCTAAAGACTCTTCAGTCAGTGGCATTGCCCCGGGGGGGGGAGACATGGTGTGAATAATAAAAAATACAACAATTGATTATAAAGTAACTGAGGCACACATATACAGAAAACAAACCAAAGAGCAGCACAGAGATTAAAACTAACTGGAATTAACATATCCAGAACCCACACCAATGAAAGACCAAGAAAAAATAAACAAAACTGAAGCAGGCATTCAGAAAACAGCAACTAGAGATAGAGAGATATTTAGATATTTAAAGAAGTTCCCATAGCTTTCTTGGTTCTCATTCCAAACACATCCTTATCATAGATAACTTACAGATGCAACGACAAAGTTGGCCTCCATCAACTGTGCCATATACAAACAAATCACCAGTCAAAACTAGTGTATACCAATTTTTTATCCCCCCCCCAAGGATTTAAAATTATTTTTAGTTCAATGCCTAAGATAAATCAGAATGAAACTTCACCATGTAAGAGCCCTTTTGACACACCTAACTGAACAGAATGCATATGCATATAACTACACCAAAAATAACATGACATATGCACAATGTATCCACACCAAATGCAATATTATGATGCATATATAATATAACTATGCAGCATACAAACAGAACTTGGTATGTGTATTACATAACTATTAAAAAAATATTTTTTTTGGTAAGTGTTTTACGGCGCTCGCAACTGCATAAGGTCATATGAGCGCGCGGGACACACCTAATACTTTTAGTTGATAGGAAATTTTGAATTTTGCCCGGGTGGCGGCCGAAACCTACTCTTATCGATTTTAGACCACCAAGGGATTTTTAACGAGCGCAACTTGCACTCGCCCTTGTCCGAGAAGGTTAGGTGTAGATCTTTCCTACCAGAAGATCAGGGGTGTGGCAGAAAGACAGCTGTAAGAAGGAGTCAAGGAATAGCAGTAGAAAGGCTGCAGAAAGAGGAGCCGAAAGCAGACGACAGAATATTGCTAGAGAGCAGGAAAGGAGGTGAAAGGAGACAATTTTAGAGAAGAAAATTTTTCGGTCGCTACCCGGATTCGAACCCGGGACCTTTGAATGAGAGGCGAACACCTTCACCTCTAGGCCACGAGAGCCCCCTAACATAATTACACCAACCCAAACATAATATATGAGTATAAAATAACTACACCAAACATAACAAGATTCATGTATAACTGCACCAGTCATGAAATAATAACATGTGTATAACATTGCGAGATACAATTATCATTTTTTTTTTTATACGAGTTTTACGGCACTTGCAACACAATTAGGTCATATAAGTGCCGAAGAGTAGAGGCGTTACAAAGGAGTAACAAACACAAAAAAGAAGGAGGGGAGATAAAGACGATAGATGTTTGATAGGAAAGAAGGAAGGAGCAAACCACACCAGGGCATCCGCCAACCACCTACGAGATAAAATGTAACATGATACACGTATAATATAGCTACACCACACAGACCATTCTACATGTAAACTACATCTACACCACATACAGCCAGGCTGAAAACACAGAGGGCAAACGTAAAACATCCTTACACTGGGCAGCTTTAAGAGGCGACAGGTCAATAGCTACATCATGTTGTTCCATGGTCAGCTGACAGGTATTGCTGACAACATGCTCCACCGGGCAGGCGTACTCCGTGACCCACTCAATCTCCAGGTCGCAGCTCACCAGGAAGTCACTCAGCAGCACGGGGTCTCGGCTCTGGGAAAACGTAAGTCAGACGCTTATGTCAGCACAAATAGTTGACATTTTGCTACCTTACTTAGATTTGCAACGTTATATCAGGCATTTTTGGGTGTTTTGAGTTACTAAGACCATGATGTCAGAAACCAAATGTTATATCTACTCTATCAAAATCGTTAGATTATTCAAGTCGTTCTCAAGATATTCAAAGAATTGAATTCGAAAAAGCTGTACATGCTGTGAAACTCAAAATTTTTACACCAAATTCCGAATTTCTCAAAACTAGGTATTAAGCGGATAGAACTTTGTAATTCTAGGGTGGCAATTTTTCCAACATGCCTGTGTATGCTTGCGTAAGAAAAGTGGACAGAGTCAGACCCGCTAACCAGTCCATGACTGAAAATGAAATTTTTCCCTCATAATCCTCTCTAAAATCAGAGTTTCGGGAAAAATTATCAGTTTCCAGAATCCCAGACTTAGAGTAAACATGGCAAATGAACCCATGTTTCAAATACACACAAATAAAAAAGTATATATTTCTATGACATAACGATAAGTTGCGTAAATATAGCAAAGAAACCTTGATATTTTCACCTAATTATAATTCATACATGTATTGCAAATAAACATGACGTAAACTGAATCTGAGAAAAAAATAGGATTTTACGCATCTGAAGTGGGCTTATCGTTGGGCAAAAAATTACTAAACGACTCTTTTATATCATCCCACAATTATTAAGAAAATCACTTTTTGCAGTGCCTTAAACAACTGTTTATGAGGGATGGGGATTTTGTAGAAAGTTGAAACCCCTCCCTCACAAAACTGTGACTTAACAATTTTTTTTTTAACAAAAGAGAACTTATGGTACCTTTTAAGCATTACAACAAAAATGGCCCCGACACGTGATCTTTCTATTCTATAATATAGATTGTAAAGCGCATACAGCATGCTGTTGAGCAGGAATTTGCACTACAAATGACATCTAATATTATTATTTTTGAACGATGAACTGAAAATCTCTTACTTCATTTTCCTTTCTTTATTCGACCCACAACCTCCTGTGCTAAATAGCACACAAGCCATGCCCGTTTTCATTTACTGCTTATGATTTTACCAAGGAGATTGAATCAAATAATCATAATGTCTGGTCCTATTTCAACATGAGAGACTTTTATCAAATGAAGAAGAAGGCTGATTTGTCAACTCTGACATGTGAAATAGTTTCCCAAATTTGCACAAAACTGCAAAGAAAATGAAAATCTAAGTAAACTGGAATGGCAAACTTTAATACAAAAAGTCCCATATGTCCTTAACCTCAAAACGAAAGAATATCTTTATTAAAAATGCAAATTACGTGAAATCTAATTCAGACTTTTCCCAACTTTAATTCTTTTTTTAAAAAGGCCTTTATCAAAGTTTCTGTCACAATTTCTTCAGCCCAAGGACAGCTAAGGTTTCAGAAGATACATATGTGAAATTATGTCTCCTCAGTCCTCAGTTTAATCATTCACACTGCAAGCCCATTTATTTCGCTTTTATGGTAAAGCTATTCAGTAACTTAACATGATTAGGAGCAATATGTAAATGTATGTTGAGTACTATAAAAAATAAACAAACATAGTCTTAGCCACTCAGAGCCCAAATCCAGAGACAGAGTTTGTGGATGGAGCTAAAAGCTTCGCAAAGGATTCAATCATGAAGCCAGAGCAATCTAGCTGTGGACCAAAGGGAGCTACGGTGCATGGATCCTGTAAGGGTCTGTAGGCCAAGGCCCAAAAGGTTAATCCATCCTCCAGCACCCCCCCCCCCCCTTCCCAAAAACACACACACAAACATGCCAACGTTCTCACCCCTCCTCTTTGTGGACAGCGGAAGAGTACAGTTGTGGAAGGCTTCCCCGGGCAGCCAGGAGGTACCTCAGAACTGACATACTCCAGTTTCACCCCATCGTCCATGGGCTCCATTTTCTTCAGTGCCTGGCCAAAGCTCTTGCCCTCGTCACCAATAACTCGGCACGAGGCAGAGCCCTCAGGACAGTGCTCACTTCCATCCGACGTTTCTTTCCCTGTAGTCAGCCGCGGCGATGGAGGAATGAAAACAGCAATGAAACAGTGCGCACAGCAAGGGAGGAGAGAGCAGAGCAGTACAGGAGTGAACAAACAGGATTGGACATTGGTGGATTTTTAGATTTTAAAAAAATCAAAAAATCTTTTAATGAGTTTAAAGCACATCGCTAAAAGAGACATTTTCAAAGGCAGACCTCATTTTTTTAGGGTTCTAAGGGTCTACAGACAGGACCATTTTTCAACATACCTGCATGAAAGAGAGCAAGACAGAAGAAGACATTGAAGCATCCAGAAAAGACTTCAACTGTTGTACCGTTTATGTGGCACCTCAGCACCGAGGGGGAGGTTTGCACCACAAATTGAGAGGGGTAATTATAACCTCTGTTTGCTCCAAGTAGTTGATTAGGATAAAAGATAATTAAAACATTTGATCATTAATTATAACTTTTTCTAGAAAAGTGAATTTGAACAGTAAATAGATCAAAACATTATGAGAAGTATTTCTATAGTAACAAGAGCAGCTCGAGAAATGATATTTTACAGTACCAGTTTACATTCTCTTCCGAAATGCATAACTTTACAAAATCAGAGAAGAAAGTCCATGAAAGCAGGCAATATATTGCTCATAATTATTCCTAACCTTGAGAGTTGAGGGGTCTCTGTTCCTTCACTTACCTTTGATAATATCCCTGCAAACATTGATGAAGATCTTTCTGTTTTGATACTCATCTACCAGGTGACCACCACTAATTTTGGTCAAGGGAGAAAGATCAATCAGACTGCCATTTTTGACAAGCGTACATGGTACCTCTTTCTGCGGAGTCGGTAGGTCACTACAAAACTTATACGAGTCCCACTCAAAGTTGACTGAGCAGCCAAGGTCGCCCAAGTATCGTGGATATCCCTTGGGAGGAGAAACACAAGATACAGAAACTTACACATCATTTGCTGAAGTAAAGCAGATCATCTTTAAAGCATAGAAGGTAAACAGCAAATGAGGTAACCCCCCCACAAGTAATCCCACCCATAGGAGGTCAATGATTTAAAAGCATTTTATTTAATGTAATCCCCACCCATAGGTCAAAATTTAGTTATCAATTACATGGTACTGCAATTCTTTTTTTTTTTTTTTAACAACAGTTGGCTGACTAAATTCTGGTGATTTTTCAAGGGACCAAAACTCAAACCCAGATTTTAGTCTTGTCCAGCGAAAGCGAAAAGAATGCAACCACCACGAGTTGGTGATGCCAGCAAATCAGCATTAACCTAAATGTGAAGCACTGTGGTGAAATCAGGCGCTCAGCAATATAACGAAACGGAAGACACCAGCATTTTTCTGCCAGTTTGGCAATTTTTATCGAAGATTTGTTTTTTAACTCAACAGCTGTACGTCCATTTAAAAACATTCATGTGTGGATTCTACTAAAAAACGTTGACTAAAGGCACAAACAATCTACATTTTCAGATTCAAAAGACTCTCAAGCATTGAAAGGTACCAAGATTCACTTATTTGCCTCTGAAATCAGGAGATCCCACTCCATTCAATTGCAAATATCCTCGACTTCTATTATAGATAGATGGGTATTTTTTCATTGAAAGATAGACAAACAAACAAGATGACACCAATAACTCCACATGCCCAAAAATTGACGAGCGCCTGATTTCACCGCGTCATAACATGTATAATAAAATATCTTTTGCAACAAACCACTTGAGATCATCACGTAAAAACTGTTTTTTCACAAACATGCACAATAATGTCTAAATTCTTTTTTCAGACTAACATTTCTCCAATTAGAACTGTTTACTATAAAAACTTATGAACAAACGGAAATGCCCCTGAAGACAGTGATGTAAGACAGGCTAATTTTTCAATACATCAAGCTAAAAGGAAATGAGGGGCGACTTCAGATAGAGAAAGAGACTACCAAACAGGGATGACTGTTGCACAAATGGACCTAAGTTCAAGAGATGTCAAAAATATTCTTTCATATGTAGAATGGGAAAAAGGCACAAAATGAAATCAATTGAACATATGTCCATTAAGAATCTGTAATCAATAGTTTGTCTCGACAGGTTTGAAACCACAGCCACTGTGTTTTATTACAACTAAAAAAATAAGACATCCATCTGCTAGTAAAAGAAAGACCAATTTTCAACAATGCACATTAAACAAAGTCACTACAACCATGAAAAGTATTAAATCGTACCATGGTCTTGCCGCATCTGAAATGGAATATTGTTGAGTAGACGGCCCCTTCTGCCATGGGACATTCCTCTCCCTTGAACATAACCATCAGTTCCGTCTCAGTCCCATCTTCAGATATTTCTGGATCGCTGGTATATTTTCCATAGGCAACAGCTGTTCCATTACGCAGGACAGCACATACAGCTGTTCCATCAGGGCAGTTATGGGCACCATCTGAGGTGTCTTGAGGAAGTTTGCTGCATAGACTGATGCTGAACGTTGCATTTGTATAATCGTTAACAGAAAACCAGGGGCTGAATCTGTACACACAGGAAAAACAAAATATTTCAAGTCAAGTCTATCTCAGTCTAAACAATTCCTGAAAACACCTATTATTTAAAAGTCAGATGAGAAGAGAGAGTGGCGGCAGGGACAACAATTATACATTTCTGTACTCAATGGAGAACTTTTATCTTTCTTGTGTTCTACATGTTGCTCTGTCAGTACACAATTCATATTTTAAACTGTATTTAAAAAATCCCCATAGCTATAAAATGGTTGAAATTGTCTAAGATGGTCATCCTTTGTTGAGAAGAAAAATGTCTGCCTTAAGTAAACGTCTTACATAGAGACACAAGGGGAGAAACAGGTAGTGGCCATTTGTGGTGATTGTCATACAGGTGTCAGTTAGAGCAGGTTCGACTGTACTCATAACATCATAGATATATATATATATATATATGCACTTGGCAACAAAGAAAATTTTGCTGCTCTACAGGGACAGCTTCCCTTGTGTATCATGGCCACAGCTGCAGTATTGACTATTAATAGAAACAAATTTCGGTGCTTGACCACTTAACAGTCTACTAGTCTACAACAATCCACAATACTAAACATTTTCCTTTAGCCTTACAGACTTGGGACTGTCGTTAGTCTTACTAATAAATGTTTTGGTCGCTGTAGTTTGCTGGGAGGGACAGGGCTAGCCCATAAGATTTCTCCAAAGTAGAGCATTAGGATGTGGGAGTGATAGAACAAAAATATATTTATACAATTACCCTCCACAGGCCTTAAGTAGGACTTATTATCATTTTAAACTGTCAGATAGATTGTGGTCAGTCAGGCGGAACTTACAGGAGACCATCAAGCAGTCTGGCACCCACATTTATTAATCATTTATACGTTTTGAAGCTTTAATATAAAAATAGAAACTTTAAAATGCAAGAAGAATATTTAACAAGCTGAAAGGTAACACTGCTTGTCTTGACCATTTTAGTTCCCACAAGCAAACCTTTATCATGTAATATAGTAAGTTGGTATATGTGAGGCAGCATGGTGAATCAGGTGCTCGTCAAAATAATGATATCGGAGAAATTGGCATTTTTTCATCTCTTATTTTTTGGCTTGACCTCTTTTAGGTCCTTATAAAAACACATTTCCATGTGAATTTTACTGAAAAACATTGATTAAAGGCACAAAATGTGTCATTTTTTCAGTTTTCAAAGACCTTTTAGCTATTGGAGATACCAAGCTTTGGCCGCCATTTTCTTGTTAATTTCACTACTGAAGCCAGGTAACCTCACTCCCTTCAATCGCAAATATCTTGGATTCTATTTTTTTTTCAATGGATATTTATTTCATTGGGAAGCAACGAAAATAAATCAGTTTTCAGATGATCCCAATAATTTCATATGCTCAAAAATTGAAGAGCCCCTGATTCCACCACATCGTGACACATATCCTTTTGTACCCCTCTCCCCTTCTCTCTCCCCTTGCCTGAACTCCTGATGATGAGCTGTGGGTCTTAATTTAGAACCAGTAACCTCAGTGCTTTATCTATAATAGAGAGATTTACTGTATGATGGGGTGATGTCCAGTTGCTTTGTAAACCAGTCCGTTGGTGGGGAGGAGGGGGGGTGGTCAAGTGAGGAATTCCGTAATGAGCGACCACTAGGCCTATACTATGAAGTAGATATAGGGTTAGAGGGTTAGGTTAGGGTTAGGGTTAAGGTTAGGTTCTCTTCTTTATAGTGTTTGGTGGGGTGGTCGCCTGTTCCGCAAGTCCTTCCTGGGTCAAAAAGGTAGAAAAATAGTACAGAAGAAGCAGAAACTACAGGACTGAAGTGGCAAATTAAAATGGCTCAAAATGAAGACAACACAATACACCCTAACTCACCCCGATCGCCGAAGAATTTCTCAACACTCCGAATGTGTACTGACAAGTTAAAAAGCTACCCAATTGAGCTAGAACTAGACTACAACACGCGAACGATGAAATATATTATAATGAAAATTAAAATTTAGCATAAGTTTGAGGCAATTCAGATTAATCAGAATAGAATTAAGAACTAAAGTCCGACTGCAAGAATGAGACTGAGAGTGGCAAGTCAGACACCTTCATTGAAGTAAAGCTAGAAGATTTTCAAGAACTTTTATGACATACATTTTTTACAAAGATATATTTTTCCGAAATTGCATTAATTTCTCTTTCTAATTTCTATTTTTTCCCCAAAATTTGTAAAATAAAAAAATAGGTTTGAAAAAATATTTGTATTCATGGGAGGGGAGTTATCCCCCTTGCTTATGATTTTGGAATAGCCTTCCTGTTCAGACCCTTAGGCAGTACCCATTGGAGGAATGGTTCAGTTTCTGGTGGCTTCATCAACTGCACAAACTGATTGCCCAACGTGCGGCCTTAAAAACAAACGTATTTGTCATTGAAGGTCATCAACGGTTTTCTCGGTTTGTGTCATGTTGGTCGCTCCCCCCATGGAGGAAAATTTGGCTAGCCCACGACGACCAACCCAATCTGAACTGAACTGATGATGCCAGTGGCCTGCTTATTTAGGGTGTTTCAGTAGTCTCCGCCTAAACGCACGGTGCTCTGGAAGGCCCCTAAGTGTGTTTATACGGAGCGTGCGTTTACATATGAACCTGTGCAAAAGGAGGAAGAGACACAATCATCTCATTTCCTGAACTCTTTCATCTCCAGCAAGCCGCTCCCAGCGGCTCGTGGTCGGAACCGTCGTGCCGGTGAGCCACCGACAGCAGCTCGGGTACATTACTTTACGACGACTTTGACATCAAATTACTTTTCAGCAATTTGCCAAAAACAGGTCTCTTTTACCGGAAGTTCATTCATTAGATAAATAACTATCAAAATAGGTTTGCTTTTTTCGATTAATGACCCATTTCATGACGTTTTTGTCATTTTTAGATTTAATACCAAAAAAGGGCCACAGTGTAGTGGGTTTATCCCTCTCCGAGATAAAGATTTAATATTTTAGTGACCTCCCTTGGGGATGTTGGGTCAATTTGGTCAATAATGTGAAGACAAATAACTGGGTTTTTTAAGGATTCACCGACTTCGGTTATGAATTATGAATACAAAGGTGTTGAATGAGTTAAAGGGGGGGCAGAAAAACGGACTCACCGCACTGATATGCACTATAAAATGTCTGGAACAGACAAGAGGAAAGTGTTTGAGATAGATCAAGTCATAAGGAAAAGCTCTCAGCCACGCGGCTTTCCAATTCCAAGTGACCAATCCCAACTGCTTGTCATCTATAATCTATTGCATTTAGGTACATGCATGGATGACATCAGACTTTTCTCTTGTGCTTCGTTGGATAAGTACGTTGTTCTTCGAATGCAGTTGATTACCACTAATCTTTAATAAGAGGCCAATCTAGTGTTTTACAGCATTCACGCGTATTGCACATCATACGAGCGTAGGTGTAACTAAACATTACGTATGCTGTCACTCAAACCCCAGTCATAAACCTTCTCTCAAAGACGCATTTCGAGCGACCAACCAGAAGACATTTCAGCCCACCCCCCCCTCCCCAACCAGTCCTAGACCTATGTGTTCGTGGAAAGTTAATAATAATAATAATAAATAATAATTGCATTTATATAGCGCATACATCCATGCTCAAGAGCTTGCTCTATGCGCTTTACAACTATTATTACCCCAGCAGACCCTCTGAGAACACTCAGAAACATTCTCAGCTTCCGCGGAAGCATACAGTGCAAGCTGCGGATTTCACGCGCTCAAACACTATCAAACTGAAAAGATCGTTCACTGTCTATAGCCGGGTACCCATTTCCACCTGGGTGAAGTGAGGAAAAGTTGGGCGTAAAAACTCTGTCCATCCCTCTCTTTGTTCTGCATGAGAGTCAGTTTCACCAAATAGGGGTATTCGGTTGTCTAGGCTTGTGTAGGTTGCAGCGAAAATTTCCCCTTGTCAAGCTTTGCCTGTCGGCGTGTTTTGCGGATTGAAGCATGCATAATTTAGAAGAAGTGAACGGGCGTTTGTGAATCTAAATTATATATGTATATCGTAAAAAAACCTCTTGTGACCACATTCTCCATCTCTCTGTGAGGCCATGGGAGTCTGAGAAACTAAGTTCCTCTGGTGATTTTAGTCTTGACATTTTGTATTTTATCCTCTCTGGGGAGTACACGCTCTGCGGTACACTTCCCGGTCTACACCTGCAGATAACTCCACATGGTCTGAACGAAAGACGTGTTGTGGGTGCGCTCACTGTACCACAGCGGATGCACTGTCCAAATAGAAACGTGAACAATGAAATTTGTGATTACAGCAAGGACAATGTTGTAAAGTCTACCTACCAATTACACTGGGTAAAAGACACTAGTACTGCACTTCTGAGACCCATGTTACATTCTTGGCTATGCTAAGGCCTATAGCTTGACGAACAAACAAACACAAGTCGAAAACAAGCTCAATGCGCTTTACACTATATTATTACCCCAGCAGACAATAGAACTCTCAGAACAAACATTTTCAGCTTCCTGGGAAGCATACAGCGCCAGCAGCTGGTTCAATTAAGCGCTCAAACACTAACACTGACAACACACACACTCCCTCTACTGGGTCTGGGCACTGAAACTTTCCGAAGTCACAAAAGATTTCCTCTACAGACCTGTATTGTATACTTCGTGACTTTGTTCCCGGTTACCAGGTCTGTATACACTTGGTTACGTAAAATCCCCTGACGACAGTTATATTATGTAACCTCCTTGTAAACACTCACATCACTCGCTTAGAAACTGAGTCCGAATAATTAAGACATTTTTTTTTTTGACCCGAGTCCGAATAGATCTATATCTACCCCAGATCTAGACAAGATAAACACAGAGTGTCTATGTACACGGTAACCAGGCAGTCCAGAACTCCAGGTTCAGTTTTTGTCATCCGGAGTTGCCTTCATCCCCACTCCCCCGACTGTACCTTTAAAAAAGGCTGCGGTTACAATAGGTACAACTTTAACTAATTATTAGTACAATTGTACC